AGTCATTAAAATGTTAAAATCAAATCAAATAAATTTGCTAAATTAAATGAAAATTGAATTTAGGAATTATTTCATTTTAACATTTTAATGACTTTTTAACTGGAAGTGTGGAAAAGTTCTCTTCAGATAATCAGAAACTGTGGTGGGCACAGCTACCCAAATTAWTAGCTTTACTGATATCTAAACTCCTACACAATTTAGTTTTACTAATGGCAAAAAAGCTAAACAAACAAAAAAACAGTTAGAACAGTGCTACAYCAGCACTAAGGTCTTGTCTATGGACACGCCCCCCTCTAGCACCCAGGCCCCCCTCCATGCAGACGTCTCAGTAATGATGTCAGTTTTACAGTCAGTAACTAAAACTTCAACACAGATCTCAAACCAAACCTGAAAATGTAATGTGACAAACATAAGTCAACACAACTCAAAATGCTTCACAGATATAAACGTTCATCTCGTTTAGACAGGGTTCCTACAGCTTGAAGGGCTCGACACAYGGGAGGYGACGTCGCTCTCTCTCCATTCATTTCCTATGGAACTTGTGCGATGAGGCGACAATCGCTTGCCCTCCTCCAGCCAAGCGACCGGCRAATATCGTGCATGTGAAATTTCACACTCGTATACGTGGACGTGCACACGCGAGCTTCCRACGCGACATATGAAAGTTGAAAAATGTTCAACTTTTGTCGCTGTCGCTTGGCGTCMCAACCAACCAGTGAGGGTTTCATTGACTGACCAATGAGCGGAGAGTATGCTACACACTGCAGTTAGCTAACACTTTCAACATTATTTTAGCTCTGTCAAACTTTCCAGTTTTATATCACCCTTCACCAAGTGATTACTAAAAAAAAGGCAGCTTTATGGGAAATTGTTGGTGCCAGGGTGACATTATCCGGTAAGTTTTTCCTCATAAAATCATATTTTGGTGTGTGTTTGTTATTCAATATCATTGGCATCGAAAGTTTTGTTTACTTTACACGTCCATAATGCACACCCCCCCATACACACACACTTTTTTTTGCAAACCACCAATAATCTTTACAAGAGGCAGTAGAAGAACCAATCAAATTTCATGAAAACAAGCGACATGAAAGCGCGATTCGCAATGCTACCATCGCCATCGCGTCCCGTGTATTGGGTTTCACCMTGGCTGCAACGACAGCCGTTAATCGCTGTCGTTTGTCACTCCCCGTGTGTTGAGCCCTTCAGGCAAGTTGAATTTAAGACTTTTTAAGACCTTTCTAAGGCCACTTCACAATAAACACAAATAGGGGAAAAATACAGTTTGTGACAATTTTACCTAAACGTTTATTTTAAGACAAACTACTAGCTGCAGGAGGCATTCAAAAAAAAGTGTTACCAATTGTTTTAATATTTGAGATGAATTGAATTCATCCTACTTTCAATGTTGTAACATTTTTAAGACCTCGAAAAGATTGATTTAAGACATTTTAAGGCTAATTAAGGCCTTATTTTTTTGATGAATTCAATGCCTTTCAAGACTTTTTAAGGATCCATGGGACCCCTGTTAGAGGTGAGGTTTGAGAAAATAATTTGTTTCAGTGAAGCCAGGAGGCGGAGCAACTACTGCTGACCATAGCAGGGGAGAGAGAGAGAGAGAGAGAGAGAGAGAGGGAGGGGGGGGGCAGTGGAAAAACTGCTGCCTTTCAATTTGTGTTTCTGCTAATTTAGTTCTTCTTACATTTAAACATTATTAACACTAAAAATAAAATGAATCAGTGCATGCCCCAAATTAATGCATATAAGTGTGTCTCCGTTTGACTTTTTCTATTTTGTGGGAAATGGTTTCAGTAACTGAATGACATCCCGACTTAGTTTTTTTTTTTGACAAATTCTTGTTCAGATTTTTGTTTAGAATTTCTGTTAAAMTCTGTTTTTGACTGTAAACTAAAACTGTGAGTCAGAAGTTGTCTGTAAATAAGGAGACAGTGAATGCAGGAATCATGGTGTTGTGTGACTCGAAGCACAACATTGTTGAGCATGTCACAAGTGGAGATATCAATGGGTACATTATCAATGTGATGTTATTGTATTATAAATTTATTAGTAGTTTAGAATATATGGTGTGAGTGAAGTCCGTTAATAATTTAAGAAGTTAATGCAACTGCTAAACTGCTCAACAAAAAGTTATTTCCACTTAGTGAATTAGCAGAACRGTGCCCACCACTGGCCCTAATGATAAACTGAAGCCTCTACTTTTGTTTTCGTTACACTTTAGAGTTTGATGACATARAACTACATTACCTTTGGCATTGGGAAGCGTAGCTTAGCCAGTTTCTCTTCTCCGACCAGTGGGATAGTGACTCGGTTGGGTAAAACTAAATAACTGTAGATGACGTCTTGGATCAGGCTGTTGGAGAAGTCGCTGTCAGAAAAGGAGAAAGGGTTTAAGAGATGGAAGGCACAGGAGGGTAAATAGCAAGTAATGCATTATTTAAAAGACAGTAAATGTGCCCTTGGGTTGTGCTGTAAAGATTCTGATTTAATCTGCTCTTTGAACACTTTGTTTCCATTTTCCACGTGATGTGATCGGAAACTGGAGGCAGTTCAAGCACGCCGATGTTGCTGGCCAGCAAACCTTTTAATGCCCCGCTGATCCACTGATCCTTCAGTGCTGTGTGAAAACACTGACAGCAAAGGGAAAGAATGGCATTCCTTTATTAACTTGGATGCTGCAGAAAAACTGGAAACTTATTCTCCCCCCTCACCCTACAGCAGGAAATTTAATTAGGATGAATATTCACAATGCTGCGTTAGCCAAAGACAGATGGGTTTTTATCCATTTAACACAATGTAGCTCACCTAATCAAAGTTAGAGCTTGATATTTGTACTGATCCTGAAACGGTCTCTGGAGTGAATCCTAGTCATAAATCCGAACAGTAGAAATGCAAAGTGGACCGCAGGAAGCACTTTTCATGTGGGATACATCAAAATCAAGAGGCAAGCATTAGATGAACTTTTACTTACACCCATAATCTGATAAACCCATTCCCTTTGAGTTCCACTCTTCCACCAGGCTAAAACTTTACAGGAGCTCAGTAACAGCCTGAGTATCATTTGCACCATAAATTTGACGTCTCATTGAATCAAACTCTGGATAGCTTCAAGTCATCCTGAGTCATAAAAATCCACTTGGAACACTGATAACTGCGCTCAACCTAAACCCAAGTTATTAAAACCAGAGTATAAATAAGGATAACTCTAGGATTCTGATATGTCTCTGACTTATGGTCTCAAGAAGGGGAAACCAATCTTAAGCAAAACAAGATAAACAGCCTCTAAGTTAAGTAGCGGCGATCAGTGTGGGGCGTTTCAGCACCAACGCCAGCCTGTAAAAATGCAAGATAAGCACAAGAAGCACAGTTTGTCAGCACGCTTCCAGAGGGAGGACAAGTTTACCGACAGCAGCAGCAGCTGCAACATCAATAGGAACATCTTAAAAGTGAGCCTGATCCTCTACCGAAGCAAAAAATCAATAATAACTCATTTAAATGAAGTGTACAAAAAAAGGTTAATTTACTGTAAGAGCTCCCTCCTGTACTGAATATTTGTTCAATCACAATCAAATCTGTGGGCCTTTGGTTTACATCTTCATACAGCCAGCACACAAAGAAAAAACACTAATAAGAATGGATCGAACGACTCTGGTTTCTTATAGATGTCAAAGGTTGCCAGCTAAAAGCAGAATATAAACTCGCTGACTTTTCGCAAAGTTTAAAATCGCATAAATATGTTTTCATGTAGCCACATTTGTAACAGAGTTGTAATAAAAAAGAAAAAATATATGAACAACTAGCAAAAATGTGGTGCAGGCTTTACAGTTGGTATTATCTTTTTTTCGTTTGTTTGTTTGTTTTTAGACAAAAAGAAAAAAAGGATATCTTGCATTATTCTGGACACAAAAAAACTTACTAAATAGCTAAATTATGCAAAGATTATTTTAGTTCTAGTCTGTTTTACGATGAAAAAATGGCTAAAAACACTTTTTTACACTTATTTTCCGCTTCAGAAAAGTACCTTTTTTTGTTTTGTTTTGTGTTTTTTGCTGGGGAGGTAAAACTAATATACATCATGTGTTTTAGCTCTTAAATCTCTTAAAGCAAAAGGCAGGAAAAAGCTTAAAATTAGTGGRGGCAAGAACATGGAATTACAGCAACCCTTAAAAACATCAATTCAAATTTCATACTGTTTCATGCAAACACTATGTTATAAACTTCTACACCACTATCAGTTTCAGCTACTGCAAGGACTGTGATATTCCTGCTGGAAGTGTCCTAAACTGTCCCAGAAGTGCTACAGCTAGCTGCTGCTATTTGCGCCAGCAAACCACAGAAATCTGTAAACAACTGTATCACAAAACTGACGGCATAGTAAAAAATTTGCATGAACTGCCATGGAATTAGTGTACAGCAGTAAACCACCCTGCTCAGGTCAACAGCAGACTTGAGACTAACACACACGAGCAAACACAGGCTAAAACTTAATTCACTGACTAAAACCCCAACTCAGTACAGAAACTATAGAGGATTATTATTAATTTTAATATGGTTATCTCTCAGCATTCAAAAATGGACGACAAAGTACGAATTTCATTGCTCAGGGAAACATGTTTTTCATCTGTGCATGTGACAATAAACACTTTGAATCTTGAATCTTGAATCTTGAACAAAGTGAGACCTCAAGAGAAGCCACTTCTGTATGAGGATATTGCACGTACAGCCTACAGGGCTTTGAATCAGTAAAAAAATAAAAGGTATTTATGACTTTGTTATTGTGTCTTTGATAATATCTGTGCACTCGTTCTGGGTCACAGAAATCCCTGGGATTTTCTTAGGCTGTACTTGTCAAATGACTAAAAAAAATAATTCAGTCATCTGTTATTTTTTTCTTTTGATTCTGCAATAAAACATTGCTTTGATCGATCTACATCAGGTTTTCAAGCATCCCTCCAATAAAAAAGCAAGATGATTTCAATTTTCTCGTCGCAGAGCAAAGGCTGCAGGGATTTCTGCTGCATTCCTGCTGATTTCTGTGATTTACAGACGATTACTTTTTTTTTTTTTGCTGCTCTCCTTAGATGAACACCAGAATACCCACGTGTCCCACCAGGAGTGTGTATGTGTGTGTTTATTTATGTCTGTATACGTCTGCTGACTGCATAGATGCACACTTACCCAGTACTGTAGTGAGTGTTTTAACATGCTACTGAGTCAGCCATCCGTCTGGCTTTCTCTGCAACATTCAAATTACCATAAAATCTATAACTATTTGTGTGTGTGAGCATCACATACACACGCACACGCACAAACATGATGAATCCTTTTGACATTAGTGGCCCCCAAATGTGTCCTCGAGCACAATTAGAAGGGAAATGTTTTCACTTTTGTAGTAAAAAAAAAAATCCCCATGTTAGCGGAATTCATTGGCACCCACATTAGGTCTCTACGAATATTCACAACCCCACAGGAGGAGTTTTAATGTCTTCTTCAATAGCACTGCAGCGAGGGTTTAAATGTGAGGCTTAGAGATAAAAGGTCTGAATGGATAACTACTTAAGAAATACACTCAGCTGTTCAATAGTTGAAATTTAATGTAGCACCAAATTTTAAGCTGATTCCCTGTGTTTACAAGGGCCRTTGTTGCAGTTTTTGCCAAAAACGGCCCCAGAAAACCCAAACATTGATAGTTTGCTTGCAGTGGTGGAAAATATTTATTTCATAATAATGCAACTGTGTAAAACAAATCACAAGATTTAAGTGGGAACACTATTGCAGTTTGGATGAATAATAGCTCGGCTCATTTGTCAAGTGAGAAAACTGCGAAGAATTTATTTGCACAAGATTTGCTCGTGCATGTTGGCAATCCCTACAATTTGTCAACCATTTGCATTTCCTGTTAAAGGCCAGAGGAAAGCTTGACGTTTACAATAATAAAAGCACGATGATTGTGTTTACAATAATAAAAGCACGATGATTGTGTTATTTTCATTTTCAGCAAAATGACCTCCAACAATAGCAGGGTTTTATAATACCCTAAAAACCCATTCAGACGTATTTCTGAAAAGGTTTCCAAAGCCTGAAGCAGCATAAACATCAATAGAATGAACCAAAAATGGAAATCCAAACTCATCTCYGTTAAATATAAGCTTTCTTGCTCATTTCYATTWTTTGCGCATCATTGYGCATCAGCTTAGAAYTGTTAAGAKCACAAACATCCACTGATGTAGGAAATATGATACACTTTTATTAAATAACGCACAGAATATTCTGTCTTTAAAAAAAGCATGTTTTTTTGGTTTTGCTTTTTAACATTTTGTTCAGAACTAATTTGTTGTTCTAAAGTGCAACAATCAGACAAGCATGTCGTTACTGCAGCTGTATTAAGACTGATCAAAACATTGCTGAACTGTTAAAATCTTGGTTTGACTTTGTTTATAAAACAACCCATATGTTAAAAAAAAACTTTAATACACAATAATGTTTTTATAAGCCTGCGGGCAGATGAGCCTGTCTATTGTTTTTACATCCGAGGAACAACGTCGGTGCGACTACTGTTTCACCATCTGGGCTTGCACCACTGCAGAGTCTTTTGCTGCAACCGCTCTCCACCCGCCCCCAACCATCCAAACCAACAACACCCACAGGACAGGAGCTGAACGGGCTCGTTTTCACCCCCACTGAGCAGAGAGAAGAAAAGCCATGATGACAGAGTCCACCGCCGGTGTCAACAAGTCTGTGTCCACATGACCATGATATGTAACAAAAAGCTGTAATCATAGACAATGGCATGCGGTATTCAAAGATGTGTCACTTTCTTTAGGCTGTAAATAATAGATGAAACCACTCAAACGGGAAGCAAGCGTTGTGTTGGGATGATTGCAAATCTTAATCAGTGTTCATTTAACAATGCGTTGAAAAAGACAATAAGAAGGAGAATTAAGAAATGGTTTAAGAAATGGTTATAATCTGATCTCAATGGTTAAAAACAGACAGGTTTCTTCTGTATAGTTATTATTAATTAATTAAAATGTCACTACTATGTGTTTTTTATTTAAAAAAATGTATTTAAAATGACCTTATAAAAACCAATAGATGCTTGTAGTTGTGCCTAGAAAGAAACATGTCATGGTTCCTGGAACTAAACACAGAAAACATCTAACAGTTCTGACAGGTTTTGTTGTCTTGACGAACAAGAAAAGCAAGTTTAAAGCGACTTACTTGAGCCCAGGAATGTCCAGTATATTAGTGAGGCCGGTCCAGTTTATATCTAGAAGCTAAAAAAAAGAAAATATACCCATAAATGAGACTGAAAGAACAGAGAGTGTGAATAAACAAAAAATGGATCTAAACACATAATGTTGTTACAAATGGTTTCATGCTTAGTGACCAACAAGTCTGATTGATGACAGCAGACAAAGAGCCCTTCTGAAGAAGCAACAAATGGATTCTTCAAACGTTTATGGATTTGTTTCTACCGTTTTGTTCCAAGGGGTTTTCCTTTCCTCATAAATTAAGACCGTTGTTRTTGTTTCAAGCTTACGGCACTCAAAATGGTTTCAGTCATTTGGGGTTTCCACCTATGACTCAACTTCAAATTACCTGCCTCTCACTAACCAACACAATAAATTCTTTACGGCATAAAAGAAAAAAACTTTTTTTTGAGTGTTTTGTCCTGGTCAAAGGGTTCAGGATTTTCAGTTACGTTCTTTATTATCTGTTCTGTGATGGCTATCGCTCAGTGACTGCTGGAGATAAGCACCTGGACAAGAAAAGCAGGTAAAGAAAACAGATGATAGCAAACTCCTCAACACACCTTTTACTCATACAATAATCCACCACCCCTTTATTTTATATCACCTCTCAGTTCAATGCACGATCTTCCTGTTTGTGTTGCATTTTCTGTGTGTGTGTTTTTGCCACTGAATATCTGGAAATATAGGGCTGGGGTAGCTTGGCGGTCAGCACCATGGTCTCCTGCAGGTTTGAGCAGGGGCATTCAAAGTAAAAACTATTGCCAATGCTTTTGTGCAAGTTGCAGAAGTGAGCAGCGGAAAACGAATGTGACATAAAACTACAATAAGGTTTGAATTTTGCTCCTCCTGCAGCTTCTATTTGTTTAGAATTAATATTGCATGCAAATGTAGGCACAGTTTATGATTCTTAACAAGAAAATTTGTGTGTTTCCCCGTACTGCAGAAGATGGCGGCG